ACCAGTGGGTGATCATCGCCGAACATCTTCCGTCGTTGAACCGAGCTACGAGCCCGGTCTATTGCAATTTCTCCAATCTGTTTTGGACGACGTTCTTCGTTCCCATCCACTACCTGATCACCGTGTTAGAAATGTTGTCCAGATGTGAAAATCAGCAAGGTCTTCTTTCGATGGCTCTTTCAATGCCAGATAGCTGGAGCTCCTCGATCATAGTGAGTGACCACATCTCACAGCCATGCAGAGTTTCCGCAAGATGGTAGAAGTAGGTAGTTTGGTGCTGCTGTTTTTTGATGTTGCCCATGAGGACGTTGACGTCTTTGTTGGAGGAACGCGCGCCAACCGGCCCATGTTCTTCGTTGAATGTCTCCAGCGGGTAAATGTCGATCCCTGAACCCAGATAAATAATGTATTTATCGACTTCTTTGACCTTTTGCCGTTTAATATTCCTTGGGTCTTCGGCACGTCATCCTATCGCAGTGCCTTCGTCATTGACCGCCTGGTTTGCGGACTAGCGTCTGCACTGTTTCTCGCGAATATCACGTCATCAGCAAACCGAAGGTGGTTGAGTTATTTACGATTAATGTTAATCCAATCTTTCCAGTTTATCCTCCAGAACAATTTTCTAACGGATAGTAAAAATTCTTTCGTGTTCATTTAATTATAACAGAAAGTTATAATCAATATATCTTACAGAAAACGTTTGTCGCATCCCGTGTGGTCTAGTGGTTAGGATATGCGGCTCTCACCCGCATGGCCCGGGTTCGATTCCCGGCACGGGAAACTTTTCCTTTCATACAATTTTTCATTATTTATTATCTTTAATATTTTAGATAATGAAGAGTTTCGGGAATCTGTTGTCTTCCTGATGCCCTTCTCGACCGCATTTTAAAAGAGTTGTTGCACTGACAGTTAGTCTCCCAACAGATCGATGTCTTGTTCTGCCAGTGCAGACATTCGGTCGCAAATGTTTTGTCTTAATGGAGCAAAGCTATGCACGGAGGGAGCTGGAATTCTTTGGCATGTTCGGAAAGTTGACTTTAGGTAGAGACGTTGTCCGTTGTGCTGTAGCTCCTTCGCAATGCCGCCTGTTCTCTTGAGTG